TCAAGCGGAAGTAAATTTAACCCACATTCTGCCTTATTGTAAAGTGCTCCATTTAAAATCTAGAGATTCGTATCCTGCTCCAAGTGGTCTCTCCTCCCAAGTTGCTAGCAAAGTCCACACATATACAGTCACAAACACATAGCTTTGCTAAAGCCAGTACTTGCTAGGCTTAGAAAACACAATACCCATGAGCCTGGCCTCCAGATGTTTTTGGCCTACAACTCCCATCATCCCTAGCTAACAGGACCAGTGGTCAGGGATGATGGGAACTGTAGTCTCAAAACATCTGGAGGGCCGAGTTTGCCTCCCCTTGAGGGAATTGTGGTTGACAGCCTTCATTCTGCAAGCATACAGACAATGGTGGATTCAGTTAGGTAGCCATGTTGGTCTGACGCAGACAAAATGAAGAAATAAAAATTGTCCAGTAGCACCTTAGAGACCAAGTAAGTTAGTGCTGGGTATATGCTTTCGTGTGCATGCACACTTCAGATATACTGAAACAGAAGTCACCAGACCCTTCTATACAGTGGGAGAAAACTATCTTAGTTGGACTCTAAGGTGCTACTGGACAATTTTTTCATTTTTATTTATTTAGACAATGGTGGAGTTAAAGTATTTGCTTTTAACATGCACGCGTGAGGGAAATATTGGTAGAACCGAGCATCAAATGCTATTGTTCCATCTCATGGTTAACTGGAATTACAATTCTTGTTCCTCTTTCAGCAACACTTCTCTGGGTATAATTTTTTCCTATAAAGGGGAACGACAGAGTACAATAAATTCACGCTTCTGTACTACAGCAATTAAACCAGAAACTCATTCGCTGCCCATCTATCATGAACAAGCCAGCACTAATGGTAGAACGAAGATTGCTTTGATAATGGCCTTTACAGGGGGAAAAAGAGATCTGCTTTCAATCTCGCCACGCTATTCAACAACTAAGGTCCACGACCAGCCACAGACTCATGTTCTCTTGGCTTGTGATATATGGAGCAGCCCTACCAACGGCTGCAGCATCTTAAATCAGTGGCATATGAATCAGGATTACTACTTTGTCACATTAAATAGCAAGGGTGACATGATAGAAGGCTTTGGCTTTACATCAACCAGCCCCCAAATTCAGTAAAATTTACTGTTATGGAAGGAGACACTTTCAGAGAGAAAGCGTTTCCATTAACTCTGTCACAATGAACATACCAAAACTCCAGTAGCTGATAACTGTGTTATGCACACATCTGTCCGGTGAGTCTATTGCATTATAAAGTGACAACTATACCACCATTTATGAGATAGGATTGTAGAGTTGGAAGGGACACCGAGGGTCATCTAGTCCAACCCTCTGCGGTGCAGGAAACTAAACTAAATCATACATCATACATGACAGATGACCATCCAACTTTTGTTTAAAAACCTTGGAGAGTCCTCAGATTCTGTGGAGACTCCTTGTAATCTTCTCTCCCTCTCCTTCAGCTTAATGAAATGATTAAAGTCTACATCAAAATTCAGACATTTAACTTTTTGGATTATGATACAGAAAATGGGGGGGGGGGGTTGGCTTTGCTGCCCCAGCATCCAAGGGACTGAGTCCCCCCCAAGTCCAGGCAGATTACAAAGCCCCCCATCGTTCTGCCCGGACACTGAGGTCCAGTGCCCGAGGGTCCATCTCAGAAAAATACAAAACATTAAACAAAGCCACAAGACTTGTGAACTACCCAGCCTAAAATGAACTTATAATGTCTGGTTTCAATAGATTTTCAAATGCTTAACTCGGGTCCTTTTAGATAAGTTCATGAAGATACCAACAAAGGTTTAAGATCGGTGATATTCGCAATACCGAGAGATGCTAGTAGAGTTGTAGATAGATGTTAATAAAATTGTAGGCATGAAGTCGTAGACGACAGGGTGCCCGGCGTTTTGCACCTGTTTCGCCCTGGCAGTCCCAAGTAATCAAGAGGGCCGCTGTTCGCCTTTTACTGGGGCTTGCAGGTAGCACACTCCCAAGGTAGTTTTCCAGGCTTCTTCAGTGGTCTAATCTCAAAGTCCTATACAGTGGTGCCTCGCAAGACGAAAAAAATCCGTTCCGCGAGTCTCTTCGTCTAGCGGTTTTTTCCGTCTTGCGAAGCAACCTATTAGCGGCTTAGCGCTATTAGCGGTTTGCGCTATTAAAGGCTTAGCGGCTTTAGTGGCTAAACAGGCTATTAGCGGCTTAGAAAAAAGGGGGGGGGAGTGGAAAAAATATCGCAAGACTCACAAGACGATTATTTCGTACTGCCCGAAGCAAGCCCATAGGGGAAATCGCCTTGCGAAGCAACTCAAAAAACCGGAAACCCTTTCGTCCTAGGCGGGTTTCCGTCTTGCGAGGCATTCGCTTGCGGGGCACCCGACTGTATTGATATTCATCTTACAGAGAATCACTCTTTCCTTGCCTTAAGGCTTAAGAGACTGATTTGCTTAGAACTGAGTTAAGCATTTGGGAAAATCTATTGAAACCAGACTTAATAAGTTTCATTTTAGGATGGTTGGTATCGCAAGTCCTTGTGGCTTTGTTTAAATGTTTTGATTTTTCTCAGAAGGTTCGGTCATAGTATGTATAATTATTGTTCAGTAAAAAACAGGGCAAAGCTCTGGTCTCTCTCATACCTTCCGTGCCCTGCAAATCGTGGGGTTAAAAATAACCCTGAAGAGGATTAGAGTAATCAGCAGCTAAGCTTCCTGTTGAATTTCTCCTAGAAGCACTTAAGGTCACCGCAGCAGCTGTGTCCTGTGGACGAAAAACATACCAATGTTTCAACCAACCTCTTAGGTTGCACATAATGGCTCCACTCCACATACATGGTTACACGCAGCAACGTGTTCATTGCTTGGGGAAAGTGGCTTGGAGATGTGTATTCTCATCTGCATTGCAAATGCAAACTCATAAGCCACACCTACAGGTGGCTGGGGCAACCCAGCCAGATGGGCGAGGTATTAAATAATAAAATTATTATTATTATTATTATTATTATTATTATTATTATTATTATTTTATTATTATTATTAGTGCAAATGGGGATGCTGCCTTAAGACGTGTGCAAATTGATACACACAATGTGCCTGCAGATCCAGTAGGAGCATCTCTGGGCAGAAACTGCTTCTGTACTTGAATCTCCTGGGCTTGGTCACAAATATGCAAAAGTGAGTTTCGGAGTTGATTCTTTCGGTTGTCTTTGATTCGTATGGCAAATACTGTTTCGGAAATCGACACGTCTTTGCATTTGAAGTGGGCATCATCGCTTCCCACTGGAAGAGAATGGCTGCATCTTGGTTAAAAAATTAACCTTTTAAAGAAATTTATCCAATAGACAGGAAAAACTATTTTGCCTATTAGTGAGACAAAAATACTTGGACTACAGTGGTACCTCGGGTTACATACGCTTCAGGTTACAGACGCTTCAGGTTACAGACTCCGCTAACCCAGAAATAGGTACCTCAGGTTAAGAACTTTGCTTCAGGATGAGAACAGAAATCGTGCTCCCGTGGCGCGGCAGCAGCAGGAGGCCCCATTAGCTAAAGTGGTGCTTCAGGTTAAGAAACAGTTTCAGGTTAAGAACGGACCTCCGGAACGAATCAAGTACTTAACCTGAAGTACCACTGTACATTGTATTAGGATTTTAATTCCAGAAGTTTGCACCCAAAGTGTTGAAAATTTAACTGTCTTTGCCGGAAAAAAAATAAACCGGAAACTAAGAAGATTTGCTGTTAAGTTGTTTATTCCATTTACGCACCTGTTTTGTTTTGTTTTGGTTTGGGTTTTTACAAAACTAGTCTCTTCGCACACTCGAGCAGGGATATTATAATGTCTGTCATCTTCAGTTATAAGGGTTACAATTGGCCAGGCCTCTTCTGGGTCGTTGGGGTAAAGAGTGATGAATTCATACTGTGTTGTACTTATAGAGTCGATAGACCTGGATGGTGTGCTGCAGGGCATAAGCCAGGAGAAACATCTCCACCTAGGTATCGAGGGGAGAAAGTGGGAAAAAAGTGCCTGCATTATTTAAAAAGACAAATAACCAATTTGGCCAAATGTATTCTGGACATGTATTCTGGGACGCCGGGTGGCGCTGTGGGTTAAACCACTGAGCCTAGGACTTGCCGATCAGAAAGGTCGGCGGTTCGAATCCCCGTGACGGGGTGAGCTCCCGTTGCTCGGTCCCTGCTTCTGCCCACCTAAGCAGTTCGAAAAGCACGTCAAAGTGCAAGTAGATAAATAGGTACCACTCCAGCGGGAAGGTAAACGTCGTTTCCGTGCGCTGCTCTGGTTCGCCAGAAGCGGCTTCGTCATGCTGGCCACATGACGCCGGCTCCCTCGGCCAATAAAGCGAGATGAGCGCCACAACCCCAGAGTCGTTCGCAACTGGAACTAATGGTCAGGGGCCCCTTTACCTTTAAAATATGAGATAGACTCATGACATGCAAAGCGAGATATATCAAGCCTTTATTTGTTACAATTGTGATGATTATGGCGTAATTTGTTATAATTGTGGCTGATGAATATTCTGATATTCTAAATTTTCGAGTTTCACCTGTAGTTATATACTCAGAGGGAAATGCCAGTGTAAGCATTGGATTTGTTATTTCACTGATCCATGCAGCTGGCAAGGACCTTGGAGGTCTTCTGGTCCAAGTCCTGCTTCTCAGTGCAGGATGCAACCTTCAGCATCCCTGACCGATAGCCGGCCAACCTCTGCTTAAGGAGAACGCCCAAAGGAGAGAGGAAATTGCAAGGCCACAGATTTCGGTTATGCATTAGGAGAAACATCAAGTCAGAATTGTAGACCTGAGATTCCCTTGAGATTCCCTGCTACTTTGCTTGGCAGGCCCTGCTTGGGCCTATATAAAGGTTGAGTTCTGGACTGCACCAAATCAACATCTGCTTCCCCTTCTCCTAATGAACGGCAGGGAACGAATGTTAGATCCCATTTTGGTTGGACGTGAGGAACTTACTTGTTCAAGGCCTCCCGTGTGACCGAGTTGATTCAGGTGGTTTTCCATCAGTTGGGAAGGATTCCTGGATGTATCCCGGGCAAAGAGAAGCCAGGCGAAAACGGGGACCTCCTTCCCCTTCTCGTTGTCTTCGTACAAATGGATTGCCGTATTGAGCATGAGAAATTTCACAGCTTCGTAGAGTTTGTATTCGTCCTCCTCACTTCTGAAAAGCTCGTCGCAAGCCACTTGCCTCTCGGCGAGGGCTTTCATTTCACTCATACGTTTCCACTGTAAAGGCAAACTCACGAATGAATGGAATTGCAAGAATAACAGCAAGAAATAAAAGTCCAGTGTGAACAACGCTAAAGAATGCGAACGGTATCCCTTCTGGCCAGCTTGGATTCAGATCTCTAAAACCATCAGTGAAAGCTTTTATCCATAAAGGTAAAGGGACCCCTGACCATTAGGTGCAGTCGTGGCCGACTCTGGGGTTGCGGCGCTCATCTCGCTTTATTGGCCGAAGGAACCGGCGTATAGCTTCCGGGTCATGTGGCCAGCATGGCTAAGCCACTTCTGACGAACCAGAGCAGCGCACGGAATCACCGTTTACCTTCCCGCTGGAGCAGTACCTATTTATCTACTTGCACTTTGACGTGCTTTCGAACCGCTAGGTTGGCAGGAGCAGGGACCGAGCAACGGGAGCTCGCCCTGTCAAGGGGATTCGAACCACCGACCTTCCGATCGGCAAGTTTAACCCACAGTGCCACCCGCGTCCCTTTTATCCATAAAGGGCGACATTAAATTGGTGAGGTTGCAGGCCAGGGGGTTTCATTTGGTTGTGATGTATTAGTGTAGCAGGGAATGAAAGAGAAAATATAAATGATTACTGGGGGCGGGGGGGGGGAGAATTAGAGTGGCTCCAATCAACTGTAGGTTCTCAAACTTCCTTCATTCTTCTACTCAATATTTTGGAAAGTTGTTTTTTCACTATGCATTTGGACACCTCTTAAAATAGCATCCCCAAATTTTGCATGACAGTTCTGAAGATCAAGGAGCTATAGATACTTAGAAACAACTGAACACCATTTTGAATCAAGAGGGAAGGCTGAACCTTCCAAAACTGCCATGATTTTGGGGCTTCTTAGAATTCACAAGCAACGCCAAGTAGCAAAGTGCTGCTAGCATCTCATAAGAGTATCTATTCTGTGGTGTTGGTAATCTATAAACATTTAAGACTTAGATTATTCGATTGATTGGTGAGTTAAAAGACAAGGGCTTAATTTCAAAACCTTGATTTCATAATTGCACATCACGCTTCCACAAACAAGTCTGAGTGCAAAACCACGTACAATAATAGCTACATGAAATTTATTTTCAGCCGAAATAAACTAAAGCACTAGACAGAGCAGATCAAATTCATAAAGAAAATGTCACAATTAAATAATAAGTAACATTACACCAACATAGGATTAATGACTACTGAGCAAAATATCTACTAAACAGCAACCAGTAACAAGAATTACAATAAATATTGTACCAACACAACACCAGAACGATCTGTTCCCCCCATCAAACATGTGAACACCGGAAAGGATCTGGAAGGGTAATTTGCCCAGAGAAATCTGTTTCAGTGTGTGGACTGATTCTTGCTGAAGTGGTGTGATTAAAACTGCCGTCTGTTGTTTTAATCAAAGAGACAACAGAGTGCGTCTCCGCCGGTAAAGCCAAACTGCTGCGTGATCTCCCCGGGGCTCAAACCTGGGCAGTGTGTAGGGAGGTCCTGGGCTGCCCAGGCAACAAGACTGCCCCACCCCTCTCGGCCTTGCTGATGTGGTCCAAAGGAAAGCAGAACAATACGTTTGGCACCAGCTTGGCTGCACGAGATGCTGGCGTAATAATAATAATAATAAACACAAAAACAAGGCGCCATCCAGCCATCTTAGGGACTCCACTCTGGCTTTGTGTAAGGCAGCCTTTTTCAACCTGTGGGTCCCCAGATGCTGTTGGACTACAACTCCCATCATCCCTGAGCTCTGGCCCTGCTAGCTAGGGGTGATGGGAGTTGTAGTTCAACAACATCTGGGGGCCCACAGGTTGAGAAAGGCTGGTGTAAGGTTTACTCCTTAGCCTTCTCTTCTCCGGAAGATATCTCACAAGGCAGAGGAGGTTTCCCTTCTCCTAGGATCAGGCATGGCCAAACTTGGCCCTCCAGCTGTTTTGGGACTACAATTCCCATCGTCCCTGACCACTGGTCCTGTTAGCTAGGGATGATGGGAGTTGTAGTCCCAAAACATCTGGAGGGCCAAGTTTGGCCATGCCTGCCCTACATGGAGAAGGTTGATGAGCTCCACCTGCCCCTCACTTTCCTCTACATCACGTGCAGAAATTGCCGCCTTGATCATTGGACTGCCATCTAGTCCCCAGCTAATTCCAATCTACCAATTGCTTGTTTTAAAATAGTTAGAAATGTGGAACTGACAGTAAGGTGAGCTAAGAATGCAGAATTTGTCAAACCTTGCTTTTTAGTAGCATTAAACAGTCTTTAATTTCATCCACCAAGTTTTCAACTTTGCTGGTCCATTTTTGCCTGAGCTTCCATTGCGCGATCCAGCCGTATTTCTCCATCAGTTTCTCTGGGAGCTACAATTTTCAGAAGATAAAAGTTAGTCTTTACCAGAAATTCGACAAGGCAACTCATTATCTAGTGATATGTTTTTATTTAATCAGGGCATCTAATTCCTGCTGGCCAAAGGTTCTTTGACCAGAATGGGTACTTTAGAATACTGCACAATGAGAAAGAAAACTTGTATCGTGTGCCTTTTGCTTTTGTGTTTGCTCCTCTGAATACTCAGGTATTAGTTAAAAAATAATTTGTGGCAGGCGAACAAGCCTATACAAATACCTGCTAAGCAAAAGCTACCATCGTTTTGTTCTATCAAGAGATGTGCTGGAAGTTGGCGACCTACCAACATCATGTCCTCTCTCTTCAGCCAGGCAGGAATCTGAACAGCTTGGCTAAGGGCTTGAAACAGCGTCGCCCTGACGGCACAATAGTTATCCCCTCGCACTCTCCTTATCGAAATAAATTTCTGTGAAACTGCTTCGTAGCCCTGTGCAAAGAACAAAAAACTACTATTAGATGCACACACCCAAACAAACAATAAATCAAAAACTTCACGTGCAGGAGCCCAAAATGAGGCCTGGTTTATAGAAGCATCACTCAAGAATTTGAAATCTCAATGGGGTTGCAGTCCCTCAGATGACGAAGCACACACTGTGACTCTGTCTGGAGAGATCAGGCCACAGTAACCCATGCCCTTGTTGCATTTAGGCTTGACTACTATAATAATAATAATAATAATAATAATAATAATAATAATAATAATATATATATATATATATATATATATATATATATATATACACATATACACACACACACACACACACACCCTGCCCATCTGGCTGGGTTTCCCCAGCCACTCTGGGCGGCTTCCAACAGAACACTAAAATACAATAACCTATTAAACATTAAAAGCTTCCCTAAACAGGGCTGCCTTTAGATGTCTTCTAAAAGTTTGGTAGCTGTTGTTCTCTTTGACATTTGGTGGGAGGGTGTTCCACAGGGTGGGTGCCACTACCGAGAAGGCCCTCTGCCTGGTTTCCTGTAACTTGGCTTCTCATAGCGAGGGAACTGCCAGAAGGCCCTCAGCAGTGGACCTCAGTGTCCGGGCAGAACGATGGAGGTGGAGATGCTCCTTCAGGTATACTGGACCGAGGCCATTTAGGGCTTTAAAGGTCAGCAGCAACACTTTCAATTGTGCTCGGAAACGTACTGGGAGCCAGTGTAGGTCTTTCAAGACCGGTGTTATATGGTCTCGGCTGCCGCGTCACCTTCAAAGGTAGCCCCACGTAGAGAGCATTGCAGTAGTCCAAGCGAGAGATAACCAGAGCATGTACCACTCTGGCGAGACACTCTACTACGATGTGCTCTACATGGGGCTGCCTTTAATGATGGCCCAGAAACACACGATGGTTCAGAATGAGGTCACTGAAACATGCTGGCTTTAATCTTTCAAGCAGAGAGGGGGAGAGGAAAAGGATGCCAAATTCAAGAAGTCCGCTCCCAGTCCTTCCTTTTGAATTTGGCGCCGAAGCTTAACTTGTCCAGCGTTTGAGATCATGGCCCTATTGTCCAAATGGGAAAACCCAAAACAGCATGGGTCAGATTTATTTGAAGGATACATATGCTATAATGTTATTGCTTTAGTTAAATAAGTTGTTTAAATTGTTATTAAGGAAATGATTGTTTTCTCCTTCCAATAAAGTACAGCAGAAAAGTTGCCCAAATATAAACAGTTAACTTATTAAACCTCACAATAATTTCATAATTACTTGTCTACGTATTTCTAACAGTATAACAAAATCAGTAATTTCTGACAGAACTGTAAAAACTACTCTGAAAATTTATTATTCCAAAAACGAAACCCTCATCTGGTTGTAAATATTAAGGTTATACCAGCAAGAATGAGTCTTTCTGTAAAAGATGATTTAAATCAAGTCTTACTGACTTAGTGATTTTAAATCAAATCCACCCTGCTTCCAGGTAGGATTTTATTGTACACAAGCCTATGCACTATTGCAAGAAAATGAGATCAGACCTTCCTTATACATTTGGCTTGCGAGGTGGTTCCTCTCCATTCTTTTTGACAATAATCCATGATGCCGACTTCTGGTTCAACACTTAGCTTATTTTCTGGAAAATCTGAATTGCAATTAGGAAAAGAGGATCCATTTTAGTGGGGGAAAGTCAAAAGAAGCACAGTTCTTGTCTGCATTACAAAAAAAAAAAAAGCCAATCTGTATATACATTTATGGAAATTGCAGGCCTCTTTGGCAGCAAGACCCCTGAGCCTGGGTGAAGGGCACTCAGGAAGATTATCAGCTTCGGTACAAACTACTTAAATTTCTTCAATCTATTCCATTTTGACATTTAATCAAGTCTTCTCTAAAGAGCTCATGCTTATTTCTGACGAGCAAAAGGAGTGTCTCACAGGTGGGTGCAGGACTAGTGGGGTGTGGGGCAAGACTTGCAGGGAAATCTTCCTTGAAAATAAATAAGTCGAGATGAAGGACTGCCCACCCACACTGCTCTTGTCCCTTTTAGGATATTCTGGTCTAATATTTGCTTCCTCCAGCGTGAAGCCTGGCTTTACATACCTAGCTTTGTTGGGATTGCGTGGAAAGGCTAATCGCAGTCTTTCTGCGATACGTGGTTTTCAACATTGTGATGTATCACCAGCTAAACATGATCATAATAAATAACAAGATGAAAAAATCATTTTTTAATAATTCCAGTAGCACCTTAAAGATCAACTAAATATAAGCTTTCAAGGTATGAGCTTTTGTGTGTAATACACACTTTGTCAGATACTCTGAAGCAGAGGAAACGAAGTGTGTATTACACACGAAAGCTCATACCTTGAAAGCTTATATTTAGTTGATCTTTAAGGTGCCACTGGAATTATTAAAAAAGATTTTTTCATTTTTCATCTTGTTATTTCTTATGACTATGACAGGTCAACACGGCTATCCACCTGAATCAGCAGCTAAACATTGCAATATATATTGATATATCACAATGTCTGAAAAAAGGATGGAGCTATGCAGAGGCTGGCTTCACAAGTTTGCCCCACATTGTGTTTTTTTGCATAGCGCGTGCGCGCGCGCACACACACACACACATCATGATTTGTAATAGATTGGCAGGTCAAAAATCATGAAACCAATATCATGATATGGACTTCAAACTGGTTTTAGATGAAATATCATGATTTGTAATATATTGCCAGATCAAAAGCTATGAAACCGATACAGTGGAACCTCCGTGGTCGAATGTAACCCGTTCCAGAAGACCGTTCGACTTCCGAAACGTTCGACAACCGAGGCCCAACAGGCGGGCAGCAAATTTGATGGAGAAAATGGAGAAACGTGCCTCAGAAGCCGTTCGACTTCTGAGGCACGTTCGAAAACGGAACCATTCACTTCCGGGTTTTCAGCATTCGGGTTCCGAATTGTTCGGCTTCCGAGATGCTCGAAAACCGAGGTTCCACTGTATCACGATACGGACGTTCAAACCGGTACTGGGTGATATATTGATATATCACCCAATCCTACTCTAGGAGGCAGCAATAGACTACCGCTGGGAATGAGGTTGTGTTTGGGGCGAAACTTTACAACTCATTTTGCTGCAAGGCGTTAAGGTGGGGGCAGTCAAGGCTCCGCTCCCACTGCCCCCCAAGTCCTGATGCTATAGGTTCTGTTATTTCCTCTGGGGTTGGCAGGTGGCAAGCTGCTCCCCTGAGGGCAACGCTCACAGAGAGGCTGCTGACCTCTACTTTACACAGAATTCAACTAATACATCATGCTCTATATGTGTAGCGCTGAAATGTACCTGAGGAGCCTGTCCCACACACAAGCAATACTTTTTCTCTCTCTATTTCTTCCGCATCACGGTACATGTCCTCCTCGCTGCAACAACATCAATACACACTTCACATAATGGCAAAGGGCTAATCCGTAGACATTTCTTTGAGTTAACTCCGGAGTGGGGAACCTTTGGCCCAGGGACAGGATGTGGCCTTTAAGACCTCACTAATTGGCCCTTGGCACCACCATTCTAGAATTATGATCATGGCTCTCGGTTGCATAAATGAGGAGAGGCGAGTACAGTATAGAAAACCCTGGATTTTGTGTGGGTGGAATGCAGAATTTTGGGTAAAGTGCGGAGTTGCACCTGTTGCTCCGCCCACTTTTGGTTCTGGCCCCGCCCACCACCACCATACTGCCCCCAGGAGACTCCCTAAAAGCCAGTGTCAACCTTGGGCTGAGAAAGATTTCCCATTCCTGGAGTAAATAGCTATTAATAAGAAACAAGGTTGTTTTCTGCGATTGTGGGTTGTATCCAATGAAGTCGTCATATGAGCAGGACAATATCTGCAAGCACAACAGAACTCTTGCCTTCCCTCTCATCCTCCCCCTGAGTGTCTTCCCGCAAAAAGAAGAAGACAAACTCTGTTCCTTCAAGCCTCTGGAGGAGATTTGGGTGTGGAGGGTCAGGAGTTTCCTTAATAATTTTGTTAGCCCCAGCCACCCTGCGCAGCTTCCTATACAGTCGTACCTTGGTTCTCAAACTGAATCCGTTCTGGGAGTCCGTTCGACTCCCGAAACTGTTTAAAAACCAAGGCACAGCTTCCAATTGGTGACAGGAGCTTCCTGCAGTCAAACCGAACCTGTGTCGGACCTTCGGCTTCCAAAAAAAACGTTCGCAAAGTTACTTCCGGGTTTGCAACGTTTGGGAGCAGATTTGTTCATCAACTAAGCCATTCGAGAACCAAGGTATGACTGTACAGGGCTGCCCCCAGATGTCTTCTAAAGTTTACATAATTACTTATTTTCCTTGACAACTTGATAGGAGGGGTTCCACTAGGGTGGAAAATGTTCCCTGTCCCCTCGCTTCTCGCAGTGAGGGAACTGCCAGAAGGCCCTCGGAGCTGGACCTCAGTGCTCATGGGATTCTACCTGCTCACACAATGACTTGGTTGGAGTCAACCAAATGGGCGTCGACTGTACATTCATTTGAGTAACAGTAAAAAAAGAAAAGAAAAAACTTTACAAGTTGCAAATACTCCAAAAAAAAGTCAAAAGCAAGTAATAATGAAGACACACCTTTTCTTAAGATCTTAAGATCTCTAACAGTATCAGATTGTTGCCTCCCAGATTTAGAATGCATTTTGTTGGTGATGGCAAAACCTTTGGAATCATAAAAGAAGGGAAATAAAAAAAATCACATTATATTCAAAAAGCAGTCTAACAAAGCTTCTGCTACATTAAAACTAAAAACAAACCCACACATGTAAAACAGCAATCTTGTGTTCAGATATTTGGGAGAAACATACTTCTGAATTCATATGGGGCTTAATTTGAAGACAATCAGCATAAGGTTACATCACATCAAGGGCATCACATCTAGGACACATTATGGCCCGCATCCCAAGAGACTCTGGTACCCGCCTAAAGTTGTGAATGTCCCCCAAGTGAGACACATCTGTCTCTACCGTTATTAACTTTCAGGAGGAATTCAAAAACATTCATGTTTATTCAGGCTTTTAGGTGGCTGAATTGAAATTGAAATTGGAGACAATAGTTAAGAGTCGCCATATTTCAAAAAGTGAAAATTCGGACACATAAGTTGTTGAGCTATTTTAGGTAAGGTTGTTGAATTTGATCCCCTGCTAAATTTGCCTGTTTGACCTCTGACGAAGAAAAGGCCAGTCCATAATTTTAATGGTAGGTTTATTGTAGCTGTGAGAGACAGAATAACAACAGGAAAACCCCCGGAAACCCAGAAGACAAAAGTCAGAGATTGATGTGCATTATAATGAGTGAAATAAGTATTTGATCCCCTATCTTCGTCAGGGGGCAAACGGGCAAATTTAGCAGAGGAACAAATACTTTCCTCCCTCACTGTAGCTATTAATGATAAATTAACATGAGCCATTAAGGTAAGACGGGTAATACGCAGGAGAAATAATTTTGAGGAGATATGGAAGGCGTGTTTGTAGAATATGTACTGTTAAAATGGAAAGGGGTCAAACCATCGCAAGAGGCATTGAAAATTTGGGAGGTTGAATAGTTGCAGTGGAATGGAATAAAATAAATAAAAGTGGGATATAAATCAAGAAGAAATACAATTGTGTTAGATCAGGCTTCCTCAACCTTGGCCCTCCAGATGTTTTTGGCCTACAACTCCCATGATCCCTAGCTAGCGGGACCAGTGGTCAGGGATGCTGGGAATTGTAGTCTCAAAACATCTGGAGGGCCGAGGTTGAGGAAGCCTGGGTTAGATCCAGAGCGGATCTTCCTGGAGCCCTTTTCTGTGAGCAGAAAGTTTTTCTAACTTAACACCAGAAAGAGAACTAGCAACGTGCATCTGTATAGTTAAAGCTATGGTTTTCCCAGTACAGTGGTGCCTCGCAAGACGAAATTAATTCGTTCCGCAAGTCTCTTCGTCTTGCGGTTTTTTCGTCTTGCGATGCACGGTTTCCCATAGGAATGCATTGAAAATCAATTAATGCGTTCCTAGGGAAACCGCCTTCAGACCAGGTCCGGGGACAGTCTGTCCCCGGACCTCTTCTGAAGGCTGGGGGGGGGGACAAGGGCTTTTCTTCCCACCCCCAGCATTTTAAAAAACCCTGGGACAGCGGAGGACTTCTCCGCTGTCCGGGGCGATCTTAAAATGCTGGCGGGCGGCATTTTAAAATCGCCCCGGGACAGCGGAGGACTTCTCCGCTGTCCGGGGCGATTTAAAAGCCCCTGGGAAGGCAGGCAGGGGGACAAAGACTTTCGCCCCCTGCCCGCCTTCAGAAGGTGTTCCCGCCCCCCGCCCCGCTTCGGAACAGCTTTCCGAAGTGGGGCGGCTGGGGCAGGTGTCCCCGCCCCCCCTCCCCACTTCGGAACAGCTTTCCGAAGTGGGGCGGCTGGGGCAGGTGTCCCCGCCCCCCCTCCCCGCTTCGGAACAGCTTTCCGAAGTGGGGCGGCTGGGGCAGGTGTCCCCGCCCCCCCTCCCCGCTTCGGAACAGCTTTCCGAAGTGGGGCGGCTGGGGCAGGTGTCCCCGCCCCCCCGCCCCGCTTCGGAACAGCTTTCCGAAGTGGGGCGGCTGGGGCAGGTGTCCCCGCCCCCCCCCCGCTCCGCTTCGGAACAGCTTTCCGAAGTGGGGCGGCTGGGGCAGGTGTCCCCGCCCCCCTCCCCGCTTCGGAACAGCTTTCCGAAGTGGGGCGGCTGGGGCAGGTGTCCCCGCCCCCCCTCCCCGCTTCGGAACAGCTTTCCAAAGTGGGGCGGCTGGGGCAGGTGTCCCGCCCCCCCTCCCCGCTTCGGAACAGCTTTCCGAAGTGGGGCGGCTGGGGCAGGTGTCCCCGCCCCCCCTCCCCGCTTCGGAACAGCTTTCCGAAGTGGGGCGGCTGGGGCAGGTGTCCCCGCCCCCCCTCCCCGCTTCGGAACAGCTTTCCGAAGTGGGGCGGCTGGGGCAGGTGTCCCCGCCCCCCCTCCCCGCTTCGGAACAGCTTTCCGAAGTGGGGCGGCTGGGGCAGGTGTCCCCGCCCCGCCTCCCCGCTTCGGAACAGCTTTCCGAAGTGGGGCGGCTGGGGCAGGTGTCCCCCCCTTCGGAACAGCGTTTTAAAATGCTGGGGGTCGGGAGAGAAGCGCTGCCGACCCCCAGCATTTTAAAACCTCCCCGGGACAGGGGGAGATTTTAAAATGCTGGGGGTCGGCAACGCTTCGCTCCCGACCCCCAGCATTTTAAAACCTCCCCGGGACACGGGGAGATTTTAAAATGCTGGGGGTCGGCAGCGCTTCGCACCCGACCCCCAGCATTTTAAAATCTCCCCGGGACAGGGGCAGATTTTAAAATGCTGGGGGTCAGCAGATAACGCTTCGCTCCCGACCCCCAGCATTTTAAAATCTCCCCGGGACAGAGATTTCTCTGCTGTCCCTTGGAGATTTTAAAATGCTGGGGGTCGGCAGCGAACGCTTCGCTCCCGCCCGCCAGCATTTTAAGATCGCCCCGGGCAGGCGGGGGGAAGGCAGGCGGGGGGGAGCAAAGACTTTTGCCCCCCGCCGGCCTTCAGAAGAGGTCCTCTTCTGAAGGCCGGCTGTGGGCGAAAGTCTTTGCTCCCGACCGCCAGCATTTCCCTATGGGCTTTCGTCTTGCGATGCAAGCCCATAGGGAAATTCGTCTTGCGAAGCGCCTCCAAAACAGAAAACCCTTTCGTCTTGCGGGTTTTCCATCTTGCGAGGCATTCGTCTTGCGGGGTACCACTGTAGTGATGTATGGAAGTGAGAGCTGGACCATAAAGAAGGCTGATCGCCGAAGAATTGATGCTTTTGAATTATGGTGCTGGAAGAGACTCTTGAGAGTCCCATGGACTGCAAGAAGATCAAACCTCTCCATTCTTAAGGAAATCAGCCCTGAGTGCTCACTGGAAGGACAGATCCTGAAGCCGAGGCTCCAATACTTTGGCCGCCTCATGAGAAGAGAAGACTCCCTGGAAAAGACCCTGATGTTGGGAAAGATGGAGGGCACAAGGAGAAGGGGACGACAGAGGATGAGATCGTTGGATAGTGTTCTCGAAGCTACCAGCATGAGTTTGACCAAACTGCGGGAGGCAGTGGAAGACAGGAGTGCCTGGCGTGCTCTGCTCCATGGGGTCACGAAGAGTCGGACATGACTAAACGACTAAACAACAACAACAATGTGCATCCACTAGCTTCTGCAATCTCAGGTCTATACTTGTGCTAAGCCCATCTGGTATTTGTAGCTCTTCTCCTGGGGCTTGTGCAACACTCCAGAGAATCATGCCACCGCGGGATTTTCTTTTGCTTCTGCGACTCTGGATCCAACCCAATAGTTTGGCTAATTCAGGTGGTGGCTGTTCTGAAGGAGAGTGTCCCAACACCAGAAAAAGTTTGCTATCGAAGGAATCTAACCCAAAAATTAATCTCAGAAGTACTTACTGTGGCCGGGGGAGCAAACAGCAAGGAAGTTGGAGGAGCAGGTACATCATCGCCATCAAAATGCATGCTAAGTCATCCTACTGGGCAGGAGAAGACAGCAATCCGTGACGGACAGAGACTTGAAAAACAAAGGTAGCTTTTAGGTCCTGGTATTTGGCTTATTTGTCCAACAGCCTCGGCCTCTAAAACGACACCTCTCCTTTCAACGAAAGAAGGCTTGGACAGTTGGAAACACTGTATGCTTTTGTCAGAATTTTGTTCGCCTCATCTGATTTGTTTAAAAGCCCTGGACAAGCTGCCAAGTACGGGGGCAATTTCCATGGGAGCTAGATCTGTTGGGATGAATGGATCCAGCGGATCTCCATTTCCCATCCTCGGCTCAGCTGTAATTACAGAGCATCTCCCCCATCCTTGCTGAGCCAAGTTCAGTGGATCTTAAAGAGAGAAGGGACTTAGGTTGGATCCCAAACCCGTTCAAACTCAGTCATATGTCCTGGCAACCTAGCATAAATTAAGCCAGCAATGCAGTACAGTGGTATCTTGTTTCTCAAACGCCTTGGTACTCAAACAACTTGGAACCCAAACACTGCAAACCCAAAAGTAAATGTTCTGGTTTGTGAACTTTTTTCGGAAGCTGAACATACTCAGTTTTGAATGTTATGCTTCTGACTTGAGGGCCACACTTCTGTTTTGAGTGTTACGCTGAGGTCTGTCTGCTTTTGCTACTTATTTTGCGTTTTTGTTTTTGCGGCATTTTTGTTTTGTTTTTGTGACTGTGTGGAACCCAGTTCAGCTACTAATTGATTGTGTGACTGCAGTACATTGTTTATTGCTTTCATTTTATGGATCAATGGTCTCGTTAAAATAGTAAAATTAATGTTTTAAGGGTTATTTTTAAAAATCTGGAACGGATTAATCCATTTTGCATTACATTCTATGGGAAAGCGCACCTCGGTTTTGGAACGCTTTAGTTTTGGAACGGACTTCTGGAATGGATTAAGTTTGAGAACCAAGGTACCACTGTATTTTAAAGGCTTGTTTCCCTTTCTGCCAGGCGTAGGCAGACAAGCAGCAGCTCCACTGCTGAATGGAGCTAGAGTTGTGTAACTTTATGCTGGCTGACTTGAATGGGACGCGGGTGGCGCTGTGGGTTAAAGCCTCAGCACCTAGGGCTTGCTGATCGAAAGGTCGGCGGTTCGAATCCCCGCGGCGGGGTGCGCTCCCGTCGTTCGGTCCCAGCGCCTGCCAACCTAGCAGTTCGAAAGCACCCTCGGTGCAAGTAGATAAATAGGGACCGCTTACTAGCGGGAAGGTAAACGGCGTTTCCGTGTGCTGCGCTGGCTCGCCAGATGCAGCTTGTCACGCTGGCCACGTGACCCGGAAGTGTCTCCGGACAGCGCTGGCTCCCGGCCTCTAGAGTGAGTTGAGCGCACAACCCTAGAGTCTGTCAAGACTGGCCCATACGGGCAGGGGTACCTTTACCTTACTTTTATGCTGGCTGACTTACACCAGCTTGCTTTTTGCCAGCTTCCTGCACACAGGGCTCGACCCCATGGTCTTTCCACACCCTGGAAGTGAAATGGGTACAACGTTGCTCTAAAAAGGTGCCAATTGTTCTGCCTGGGGTACTAGGTCGTGCCATTTTAGGGGGTGAAGCTTAATTTTTGTACATTTCTTCAGTGAGGGGTATTAACAATCCGTTTGGGGGTATGAGGAAACTTGCTATTGTTTTTGTGACTGGACAATATTTAGCTGGACAATATCTACACTTGAACTATTTCTGCTCAAATGGTTACTCTGTTTGCTATTCACATAAAGGTAAAGGTTAAGGACCCATGACAGTTCAGTCCAGTCACAAACAGCCTTGGGGTTGCGGCGTTCATCTTGCTTTACTGGCCGAGGAAGCCGACGTTTGTGCGCAGGAAGTTTTTCCGGGTCATGTGGCCAGCATGACTAAGCCGCCTCTGGTGAAACCAGAGCAGCGCACGGAAACGCCGTTTACTTTCCCGCAGCAGCAGTACCTATTTAGCATCTCAAATGCCCAACTGGATTCTACATGGGCAGAAGTTTTCGTTACATCAGATTTCTAACCTCTGCGGTAATATTGGCCACCAAACAATGGAAAATACTTAAGCCCCCTTTTAGTTGTTTTACATTTTAATATACTACTTTATCTTTTACTAGGAATATTTGAGAGGTTTTGTACATAGGCTTGTAAGATTTGGCCTAGAAAGAGAGGCTGGGTAATCAGAATGTCTTGTTTCCCAAACAAAGGATCAAATCAGAATTTCAGGTTGGCTTCTTCATCCTGTGGTTACTTATTTTCTACAGGTACCAGAACACTTACCATGGTGATTGCAAGGTGAAATCAGTATCAACACACCAAACAGGAAGATTTGCTGAAAATAAATGGGTTTACCCATTGGTTCCCCAATACAAAGAAACACTTTGAAATAACAGGCGAACTGAGGTTTAAATTGTGATCAGGATTTGGAAGCAAAGCTTGAAATGGCCTAGCAATTCTAGATTAAAGCAGCAACCAGGTTAGCCTTAACCATGGTTAGTGCTGGTGCAGAAGTAAATATCAAAGGGTAGTTAAGGCAGACCATGCAAAAGAGAAGATTTGTGCTAGAAAAGGAAGGGAAAAGCCCATGTTTTTCCAAGCAAACTTTCTATTCGCAAAACACAGTTTGCAAGGACCACGTTTTGCATTTGTCTGAAGAACGAACCCATCGCACATGGAAACTTGCTCATTCTTCCAATAAAATAACTTCTATTACCTATTTAGCATCTGGAAAAATATGGTAAAGTCAAGTCACAGGTCTGAAAAGGCTTCTTCAGCAAAACTTTAATGACAAAAACTCACTAGTCTACAGACGATTCCATTGGGGAAGTGATGAGCGAGGCAGGTAGGTTTTCTTTACTTCTGTGAGAATTATCTTGGTGGGGTCGAGATACTTTTGAGACCTCTGTCTGGATCCTCTTTGTGCAATTGTCGCCATCTTCTTTGACGGTCATTGCAGGGCTCCCTTTGTAGCTCATGCTTGAACTTATGGAAGACATTTTGTCATGAGGAGTGCATTTTTCCTTTTTGTTTTTAGAAAACTGTATACCAAAAATACTTTTTTTCCGCTTCTCTTCTGCGGTAATGGAAGGACCAGTTGCCTTCCTCGCCATTGGCTGTGACATCCCAGGGCTATGAGAAAAATATATGAAAAGCCTCTGTGAGGCTTAAAAGCTTATTCACTCTTACACAGTTCAAATAGTCCAAATGAGACATGAAGCAACATTGGATAATGGTCTGAATAATGGATCGAGGAAGCCTAATTTGAAGATCATCATTTCACATAATTAACTGAACTTGCATGTGGTCTTAACTCCCAGATGTAGACACAGCATTTAGTCTGCAATATTCTTATAATGAAATCAGTACTCATTTGTATCAGCCCCTTAAAGTCCAAAACCAGACAATGTAAACCGTAATTAATGTGGGCTTGTTTTTCACATATATTCCCGTTTCTCTTATCTTTCGGCATATGCAAAATTAACTCACTAACTACAAGTGGCAGAAGTTTGCTTCCTGAAGCAAAGAAAACGGGCATCTTCAATATTCCAGGAAGAGCTGTTTCTTCGCAAGTTACAGAGCAGAAAACCCAAGCTTGCCATTGAGCATAAACCCAAGAGGGATTTGCAACCAGTCTTGGCTGCATGAGAATTGTCCTTGCACAATAAGCGTGCTGATCACATTTTTACAGAAAGTGCCCAGCCAATAATCTCAGTATTTTAGAAACCAAACCTCCACTCACCCCATATTTTTTAATTAATTGATCCAAGCAATTTTACCACCCTCCTCAAATGTTCACATTCTCTCTGTGCCTACAAAACATCTTTGCATCATCTCTCCTTGAAAGTTAATCAACAGTCAAGGGAAAAATGGCTGCATCTGCATGGCACATTTAAAGACATTATCATACCACTTTTAATTGCCCTGCTCTCCCGGGAGCTGTAGTTTGTTAAATGTCCTGAAAGTTGTTAGGAGACCCCTATTTAACTAAGAGAGCTACAATTGGCACAGTGGTTTAGCAGCAAATCTCTCTTTGGACTCACAGCTGTCCATGGAGGCGCAGGTTAATTCTGTGTCCAGGGCAGCTGTCTACCAGCTCCACCTGGTACGCAGGCTGAGACCCTACGTGCCTGCGGACTGTCTTGCCAGAGTGGTGCATGCTCTAGTTATCTCCTGCTTGGACTACTGCAATGCACTCTACGTGGGGCTACCTTTGAGGGTGACCCAGAAACTGCAATTAATCCAGAATGCAGCAGCTAGACTGGTGACTGGGAGTGGCTGCCAGAACCACATAACACCAGTCCTGAGAGATCTGCATTGGCTCCCAGTAAATTTCCAAGCACAATTCAAAGTGTTGGTGCTGACCTTTAAAGCCCTAAACGGCCTTGGCCCAGTATACCTGAAGGAGTGTCTCCACCCCCATCGTTCAGCCCGGACACTGAGATCCAGCGCCGAGGGCCTTCTGGAGGTTCCCTCATTGCGAGAAGTGAGGTTGCAGGGAAACAGACAGAGCGCCTTCTCGGTAGTGGCACCCGCCCTGTGGAACGCCCTCCCTTCAGATGTAAAGGAAATAAGCAGCTATCTTATCTTTAAGAGACATCTGAAGGCAGCCCTGTTTAGGGAAGTTTTAAATATTTAATGCTGTATTGTTTTTAACACTTGATTGGAAGCCGCCCAGAGTGGCTGGGGAAACTCAGCCAGATGGGCGGAGTATAAATAATAAATTATTATTATTATAAATTATTATTCCTAGGGAATGCTGACAACTGTAGCTCCTTCCCAATATTTTATATATGGTGAAGTAAGCACTCCCGTGTAGGAATTTGGGTTTCCCCGAACATCCATGTAATTGTATGTAATGAGGCTGACATATGTGCTACAGTGGTGCCTCGCAAGACGAAATTAATTCGTTCCGCAAGTTTCTTCTTCTTGCGAGTTTTTCGTCTTGCGATGCACGGTTTCCCATAGGAATGCATTGAAAATCAATTAATGCGTTCCTAGGGAAACCGACTTCAGACCAGGTCCGGGGACAGTCTGTCCCCCGACCTCTTCTGAAGGCTGGTGGGGGGACAAGGGCTTTTCTTCCCACCCCCAGCATTTTAAAAAACCCCGGGACAGCGGAGGGCTTCTCCGCTGTCCGGGGCGATCTTAAAATGCTGGCGGGCGGCATTTTAAAATCGCCCCAGGACAGCGGAGGACTTCTCCGCTGTCCGGGGCGATTTAAAAGCCCCTGGGAAGGCAGGCAGGGGGGACAAAGACTTTTGCCCCCCGCCAGCCTTCAGAAGAGGTCCTGGACCTCTTCTGAAGGCTGGCGGGGGCGAAAGTCTTTGCTCCACCCGCCTGCCTTCAAAAGCTGTCCGGCCAAGGCTTCGCGGACCTCTGCCGGCATGCCGAAGCCTGCGCGCGCTGACATCAGCGCGCCCAGGCTTCGCGGACCACTCCGCCAGCAGCGGCAGGGCTGCCGCTGCTGGCGGAGCCTTGCCGGCATGGCGAAGCCTGCCCGCGCTGACATCAGCGCGCCCAGGCTTCGCGGACCGCTCCGCCAGCAACGGCAGCGCTGCCGCTGCTGGCGGAGCCTTGCCGGCATGCGGAAGCCTGCCCGCGCTGACATCAGCGCGCCCAGGCTTCGCGGACCGCTCCGCCAGCAGCGGCAGGGCTGCCGCTGCTGGCGGAGACTTGCCGGCATGCCGAAGCCTGCGCGCGCTGACATCAGCGCGCCCAGGCTTCGTGGACCTCTCCTGCCTTCAAAAGCCGTCCGGGATAGCGGGAAGCGCTTCCCTGCTATCCCGGACTGCTTTTAAAATGCTGGCGCTGGGGAGCAAAGCCTTTCGGCCCCCGCCAGCCTTCCTGGACCTCTTCTGAAGGCCGGAGGGAGGGGGGAAAGGCTTTGCTCCCCACCGCTAGCATTTAAAAGAGGTCCCCGGAGATTTCCCTATGGGCTTTCGTCTTGCGAAGCAAGCCCATAGGGAAATTTGTTTTGCGAAGCGCCTCCAAAACGGAAAACCCTTTCGTCTAGCGGGTTTTCCGTCTTGCGAGGCGTTCGTCTTGCGGGGTACCACTGTAATTTAATTACAAAAGACCATCAGAACAATGTCTCACATCTTGCCTACGCACAGCAAAACATATGGCATGCGCACAGTGATTTTTTAAAAATAGGAAACTGATCATACACAAAGCAGAATTTACTCTTGCTGGGTGCAACACCACCAGAAATCAAATGATCGAGATTATTTGCAGTTTCGCTATTTATGAAGTGCATGTGTGTTTGTGGGAGCCAGTCAAACAAACAGGACTTTATTCTCTCTGCACCGGCATTTTACAGAGAGGAGGGGAAGGAATTCAACTACAAAGCTTGTATGTGAACTATTCAAAATGTTCGTGTGTGTGTGTGTGTGTGTGTGTGTGTGTGTAGGGGCAGCTGGCAAACGGAACGGATATGTGTATTTCTCATCTCTGAATCTTACCACCTTTTACTATGACAAATAATGCAGCTTAGATGTTACCCAAAGAGGTAACACACAAATCGAATTGATGAAACAGAAACATAAGCAAATCCTCGGCTTTATTTTTAAACCCTATTAATCCGCGGTTAACGAAAGCGCTTACCTTTCTTGGGTGGCCTGGCTGCTACTTAGCTTAAATCGCTTAGTATTGTCTGTAAGAGTTGCAATGCCGGGGCTGGTGCAAACCTGCCTTTCCGGAACTGGTTTTGGCCCAGTCGGTTTGTTCTCATTTCCCTCAGCAGCAGCGAGGACAGTCTTTCTCCCATCCGGAGGCCTGCAAAGCTGTCCATCCTTATCTGCGCTCATCTCTGCAGGGCAGGAAAGCCTCTTTGAAGTTTCAAGCTACCACTTTAGAGGAAGGGGAGAGAGAGATCCATCAAAATCCACGACCAGAAAGAGGAGTACCAGATGAATGGAAGAAATTTAAGGATTATTTAGTTAAATATGCTAAAGATAATATAAGTAGAATTACTTGTGTGTACAGTGGTACCTCAGGTTACATACGCTTCAGGTTACAGACGCTTCATGTTACAGACTCCACTAACCCAGAAATAGTGCCTTGGGTTAAGAACTTTGCTTCAGGATGAGAACAGAAATCGTGCTCCTGCGGCACGGCAGCAGCAGGAGGCCCAATTAGCTAAAGTGGTGCTTCAGATTAAGAACAGTTTCAGGTTAGGAACGGACCTCTGGAACGAATTAAGTTCTTAATCCGAGGTACCACTGTATTTATACCCCGCACATCTTACTGGGTTGCCCCAGTCACTCTGGGCAGCTTCCAACATATGTAAAAACATAATTAAACATTTTTTTAAAAACACTTCCCTATGCAAGATTGCCTTCAGAAGGCTTGGAGGGGGTCGGATAACTCCATAAAGGTAAAGGGACCCCTGACCATTAGGTCCAGTCGTGACTGACTCTGGGGTTGCGGTGCTCATCTCGCTTTATTGGCCGAGGGAGCCGGCGTACAGCTTCCGGGTCATGTGGCCAGCATGACAAAGCTGCTTTCTGGCGAACCAGAGCAGCGCACGGAAACGCCGTTTACCTTCCCACCAGAGTGGTACCTATTTATCTACAGTGGTGCCCCGCAAGACGAATGCTTCGCAAGACGAAAAACTCGCTAGACGAAAGGGTTTTGCGGTTTTTGAGCTGCTTCGCAAGATGAATTTCCCTATAGGCTTGCTTCGCAAGATGAAAACGTCTTGCGTTTTTTGCAAGTTTGTTTCCTTTTTCTTAACACCGTTAATACAGTTGCGACTTGACTTCGAGGAGCAACTCATAGAACGCGGTGTGGTAGCCTTTTTGAGGTTTTTGGTGATTTTTGAAGCTTTTCCAAAACTTTGCCGACACCATGCTTCGCAAGACGAAAAATTCGCTAGACGAAAAAAACTCGCGGAACGAATTAATTTTGTCTTGCGAGGCACCGCTGTACTTACACTTTGATGTGCTTTCGAACTGCTAGGTTGGCAGGAGCAACGGGAGCTCACCCCGCCGCGGGGATTCGAACCGCCGACCTTCTGATCGGCAAGTCCTAGGCTCAGTGGTTTAACCCACAGCGCCACCCGTGTCCCATGGATAACTCCATACCCTCCAACATTTCTCCAATGAAAATAAGGACATCCTAAGCAGGGCTTTTTTTCAGCCAGAACACTCTGGGACTTTGTTCCGGAACCTGCCCTGAGGGTTCCATCACCTCTCTGTGCCCATAATCATCCAGATGCTGTGGGCAGGCAGCACATTTTCTGGGTGGGGAGATTTGGATGGAGTTGGCATGTCGCACGCTTTTTTCAGCGATTCTCTTCTTCCGAAAGAAGCTCTATAAGGGAGGCGCGACACGGCGTGTGTTATCAGCTCCCTAAAAATAGCCCAACCACTTGGATGGCCCCCTAAAAAAATAGCCCCCCCCCTTGATGGCTCCTTAAAAAAATAGCCCAACCCCTTTGATGGCTCCCTAAAAAATAGCCCAAGCACTTTGATGGCTCCCTAAAAATAGCCCAACCCCTTTGATGGCTCCCTAAAAAATAGCCCAACCACTTTGGCATCCTTTTGAAAGAAGCTCAGTGACTTAGGGTTGTCCGTCCCCAAAAGCGGCGGTGGGAGTTCCTGCACCCCCTTTTTCTACGGGGTGGAAAAAGCACTGATCTTAACTGGGATCAAATCAGAAACCGGGACGGCTTCTCTAAAATTAGGGACGTCCGTGGAAAATTAGAGACACTTCGGAAAGGTCTGCAATCCTAAGCGAACCCAGCGGGGGTTGCTTCCAGGAAAGCGAGTTCGGGGCTGGGATGGGGGTGGTCCAGAATCCTGATCAGGCACGCTTCTCCTTTGTGGTTTTACTCGGGAGTAAGCCTCGGCGGAATCAAGCCCAGCACAGCAGACTCGTGTCGGGAGAGGGAGCCCCTGGAAGAGGCAAGAGAGCCTGGCCGGGGTTCTACTGGGGCGGCGCTGCGCTTTCCGCCCAGCAGCCCTTTGGAAACCTCCGGGCAGATGCGCGCGGACAGGATCGGGCGCAAGGCGCGGGGCGGGGCAATCGGATCTCTCGCCTTTTGCAGGGCGCAGCGGAAATAATAATAATCATAAGATTTGAAATTACCTCGGTCGCAGCAGTGGTTTCATCATTCAATGTCCGGCTCTACTTTAAATATATATCTATATCTATCTACTGTTCCCTTTGCTTCCGCGTTTCCTCTATAAACTTGCAACCTGCAGACTCACACGTGCCGAGCTATCTTCCGGGTACACCTACGAAGCCAAGTTCCGGGTTGCATTGCATTGCATTGCTAAAAACTATAAATATCCAAGTAGTTGACTTCACCCCCTTCATGGTCTCCTGAGACAGTCGGATGCAGACAACAATGATATATATATTATTATATCGTGTAGAATGCATGTATTATTTTATATCATATTGCACATGATTAAAAAATTGTATTACTGTAGATCAACATGCTGTGTTCTATTATATAGAATTATATATATGATATACTGTAATTTATATCTTCTTCTTCGGCGATCGCTCGTAGCCGAGTAAGATTGCCTTCCATGAATAAGGTCTTAATATTACATTACTGTATATATAATGTATATAATATATATCTATATGTGTGTGTATTACGCCAGGGGAAAATGCAGGGTATGAATAAATGAACAAATGTGTAACAATAAAATAATAATAATAATAATAATAATAATAATAATAATAATAATAATAATAATAATAATAATAATAATAATAATAATTTAAAAAGGAAAACGAACCAAGAAGTTCCATCTCAGGCAGCACCGGTTGCTGTTCTCTACTTTTCGTACCTCTTTGGTGCTTCTTCCACCCACTTCTCCCCGCCCCCGCCCCTTGGCCTTAAGCGCCAAAGCCGCAATTAATAGCCCTCCCACAATGCTTTGCGGGAGGAAGGGAAGGGGGTGGCCTCTGCCCTTGCCCAAGATGGCAACTCCCTGTATCTTTGGGGTCTACTCTCCTCGCTGCCTTTGCAGAAGCGATCGAGGTCCTTAGTTAGCCGCGTTATTTTATTTAATTATTATCTATTTTTTTTATTTTATACCTGCAGAGGGAGAGAGAGGGCTGCGTCAGGGGCGCCGCGCCTGCTTGCAACGGTGTGTTTTGGCAAATATTTACTGTATTTACTTTCCGAGCGGGCAGGCACCCGCCCTTCCATAGCAGGGATATTGCAGCGCGGCTGCAGTCTTACGCACGCTTCAGTTGGGACAAGAAACAAACAAGCGCAAAGGTGTCCCTTAAATAACCTGACATTTCAGCATGTTGCAAGCTTCCTTGTCCCTGGAGGGTCCTCTTTGCAAAGAGTAGGACTTCTGTAGGAAGCGGGTGCACCCTGAGCCGCCACCCGGCTTGCGCAAAAGGCCCAATAAAACCTGTGGCGCATGGTATGCAGTCGGGCTGGTCGCTCGTGGCAGGGGGAAAAACCCATAATATCTGGGGCAGGGCACAGACCTTGAGAGGAAGGCTTGCGATTTGCAGGGGAGAAGTGTTTTCTCAGCCCTGTCAACCCACAGTAGGGCTGTTAAGAGCGTTGACTCAATGGATATTGTAGTTAGGAAAGGTTCGGAAAATGGCAGCCAAGCACACAGACCTCAATCTCAACGGGAAAATGTAAAAGCAGGTAGATGTGAAGTGCACAACTCCCAGTCTAGTCCACAAGTCATGCATGTTGTTGTTGTTAAAATTTATATACCGTCCTATACTCGGGTCTCGGGGCGGTTCACAGAATAAAATCAAGATATAGAACCACAAAATACATAATTAAAAACAACAACCCAATAACCCCCCCCCCCATATGTGGCCAAATTAAAAGTGGAGGAAGAAAAAGCTTGCATTTCTGCCCATCAGCTGTGCAGGAGAAAACTCCGGAATAAGCGTTGATTCAGTCCCGCTCTGTGTTCCCCTTCGCCAGCCAAAGAGCCGGATCACACAGGACTCCAGCTGCTTCTCTTTATGCGTGGTATGGAGAAAGTGACTAGAGACAATTTTTCTCCCTCGCTCATGACACTGAAACTGAATGTTGGAAGATTCAAGACAGACAGAAGATAGTGCGCAGTTAAAACAATGGCATTCACTTCCACAAGTGAGGGCCGCCAACTTCGATGGCTTTAGAAGAGGATTAGACAAATTGATGGAGGATAAGGCTAAATTTTACCTCCAGTATTGGAGACACTATCCCCTGGCTTGTCATGCCTAAGATATATCATTTTTAGGACCCACCCTCTTCTCTTGACTGTAACTTGTTTTAATTTGCTTCAACATATTTTCAAAGTAGATGTGGGCGGCGCTGTGGGTTAAACCACAGAGCCTCGGATTTGTTGATCAGAAGGTCGGTGGTTCGAATCCCCGCGACGGGGTTGAGCTCCCGTTGCTCGGTTCCTGCTCCTACCAACCTAGCAGTTCAAAAGCACGTCAAAGTGCAAGTAGATAAATAGGTACCGCTCCGGTGGGAAGGTAAACGGCGTTTCCGTGTGCTGCTCTGTTTTGCCAGAAGCGGCTTAGTCATGCTGGCCACATGCCGGCTCTCTTGGCCAATAAAGCGAGATGAGCGCCGCAACCCCAAAGTCGGTCACGACTGGACCTAATGGTCCGGGGTCCCTTTACCTTTTAAGGCTAAATTTTACCTCCAGTATTGGAGACACTATCCCCTGGCTTGTCATGCCTAAGATATATCATTTTTAGGACCCACCCTCTTCTCTTGACTGTAACTTGTTTTAATTTGCTTTAACGTATTTTCAAATTGCTGTAACCTGGACGGGAAAGCTTATGGTGAACGGTGGGTAACACAGTGAGGTAATAATAGTAATAGTAATAATTCACCATTCATTAATATTGTATATTAATGTGTGCAGGGAAAGCCCCCATTGCACCACAGTTTTAGGATGCTGGGGGAGAAGGTGAAGAAAATGAGGTAATTGAATTAAAGGATAAACTGTGGCAAGATCAGCAACACTGTCATTGAGACAACAGATGGTTTTCAACCTTAGCATCAGCCAGACCTGGAGGAGAAGTGGAGCATGAGACTGCCAGCACCTTGGCCCCAGGCATGGGACTGGCCAGGGTTAGTGGCTACGACCTGCTTGAGAAAAAGCCTACTCATGTGTAGGAAGGTGGCATGGTACAGGAAATGGGTGTGGCTTCAGCTGCCTGTAAGAGGCCAGCAAAGAGAAGTTTCTCTTGTCTCCCTCTCAAAGCAAGCTGGGAGATGGGGAAGGGCAATTGGCTGGGAGTAGACTTCCGAAGCAAAAGAAGCTGTGTTGTATAAGTCTGTGACCTGCTTTAGTATTTGTGCAGCTGCAAGAGCTCGGTTTTGAACTTGGTGCTGGAATCACAAACAGATTTCTGGCCAGTACTGTATATACAATTCAGTACAGGCAACTTCCAATTTATGCTGGGGTTACGTTCCAAGGCATCATACATTTAAGTGAAATCACCTACAGTGGTACCTTGGTTTACGAACCTAATCCGTTCCGGAAGTCCATTCTTAAACCAAAGCGTTCTTAAACCAAGGTGTGCTTTCCCATAGCAGTGGGAGACTCAAATTACAGGAAGCAGAACGTGTTCTGCTTCTAAGGCAAAGTTCACAAACCAAAACACCTGCTTCTGGGTTTGCAGCGTTCTTAATCCAAGTTGTTCATAAACTAAGCTGTTCTTAAACTAAGGTACCACTGTATATTTGAAATGCCATTGAAAAAGCTTGCAAGCACCCGGTTCTGACTCGGCCCCGCCCTGTTCCTCCCCTTTTGTGACATTTTAAAGGCCATATTTGTGATGATATTTGGTTTCTTTTTTGTGGGGGTATTGTTTCTATTATTTTCAAAGAGGCTTGTGTTGGTCAATCGCCCCCCTCTTGTGGCTACCCCTCGAGTTACAGTATTTAAACTGGTTAACTTTTGTCAAGAGATGAGACCAGCAAACCTCTCTGAGCCTTACGTTTGGGGGCTGGTACAAGCCTACCCCAATAAGAGGCAAGTTTTTAAAGCCCCTAGGTTATAGTTGTTGTTTAACTTGGATTATAATACTGTACAAGCCACAGAGGAACTGATGGCATCCTTTGGCTTACCACCACTCATCCAATCGCCCCAAACATCCCCCTTATGTTTACTTATGTTGGGAGTAGCATTGCTGCCATTGCAGTTGTACTGAGGAAAACAAGAAGTCCAAAAACCATTCCACTTTTCAACTTGGGGCACTGAGATTGAGGGTGACGAAGGTTTTGAATCAAATGTGCGCACTAGTCAGTATGTGCCCTCCTCAGCTGACTTCTCTGGTTTCTAGAGAGTGCAAGGGAAAAAAGCAGTTGACAGAGCGGCAAAGATTATATCAAACCACCTCTACATTCCTAAAATTAGCTTTGACTTTACAATGGTACCTCGGGTTACAGAAGTTTCAGGTTACAGACACTTCAGGTTACAGACTCCGCTAACCCAGAAATAGTACCTCGGGTTAAGAACTTTGCTTCAGGATGAGAACAGAAATCGTGCTCCGGCGGCGCTTCAGTATGAGAACAGCGGGAGACCCCATTAGCTAAAGTGGTATCTCAGGTTAAGAACAGTTTCAGGTTAAGAATGGACCTCCAGAACGAATTAAGTTCTTAACCCGAGGTACCACTGTATTTAGGAAGTCTATTTATGTTTATCTTGCATGTCAAAAACCCAGTGATTCAGGTATAAAACAGCTGAATGGAAACCAGGCCTTAGGAAGAAAGGTTGAAGGAGCTGGGTTTGTTTAGCCTGGAAAAGAGGAGACACAGAGGAGATATGATAGCCATCCTCAAATATTTCAAGGGCTGTCACATGGAAGATGGAGCGAGATTCCGACTAAACATCAGGAAGAGCTTTCTGACAGTAAGAGTAGTTCAACAGTGGAAAGGTCTCCCCTGGGAGGTTGTGGACTCTTTCCTTGGAGGATTTTTTTTAAATTTAAATTGATTTTTACAAATAATTTCCAAAAATCATATAACATACTTTCTTATCTTATACAATGTTTTTGACTTCCATCAACTGCATCTGAAGATTTTTCAGTCTTTATCACTTAATCTGTATTTCATTATTTTCAGTATTACATTTAATACTCCTTCACTAATAATCCTTATCATAGTTTTCTCTGCAATATTTTGCATAATCCTCCTTACAAAACTTCTTGCAATCCTACTATCGTAATCTGTTGATTACAATTGCTTTTCAAATAATT